TAGTTCTTTGTAATTACCACTATTTATGTTAAAACCTTTAGCCAAAATCTTTTTCTTTTAAATTGGGTTAAAAGTTAACAAGGCTGTAGTGTTTTATGCCAGCATATTTTAATTTTTTATAAAAGTAAACTTGCGTGAGGTCTACCAGAGCAAATTCTGGATAAGTGAAATTTGGTTACATTTAATGATTAAAATGGAACATACATGAGGGCAGATACAGAAAAAAATAGAAGGCAGAACATTCATTTTACTTTTAATAAGAAACAGTTTGGCCAGTGTCCTTGGTCACTGGTTTCCAGGTTGTAACCATTTTGCTGTATGTTTATGTTTTTTGAGCTCTTTCCTGTCTGCTTTTCAGAGTGTTGAGGATTTCCCCTTTGCTGTGTATTTTAACTAATTTTGAGCCAGCTCGTGCTACTCTGTGCTATTTGTAATAATGAAAAGTTGGGATAACTGAAAATATTCAGTAACTTTGAATCTGATTTTCAAAAGTATTTGACAAGATCCTACAGCAATAAATATATTTTTATATCAAGTTACATATACATAAACCAAAAAAATATTTTAAGTAATGTTTTTATTTCTTGTTTTATAATCTCATATTTTCTATTATGTTCTTCTTTTTTTCAATGCTGATCCTGATCTAAATCGGTTGTATGAGCCTAGGACTGGCTGCAAAGTGCAATATTCCTTGCTATGGGTGGTGATTTTTCTCTTTAAAAAGTACTGTTGTCTGACTCACCCAACTCCTATCCTCCCTCAAATCAAACTCACGCCCTTCACAGAGTTGATGACTAACAGTTTGGGATGCAGGATTTTCTCTACCTATACAACCAAATATGTGCAAGGATACACATAAGTACAGTATAGCTCAGTGTATTAAACATCTACTTAAACATGTATTCCATTTTGGAGGATTTTTTTGGTGATATCTATTAACAATTACAAGTGTACACCTTTTGACCCATCAGTTACACTTCAGGGAATTTTATCCAACAGAAGTAACACAGATGCACAAAGACACACACTCAGTATCTTAAGCCATTGGAATTTACCCAAATGTCCATCAATGGGAAATAGGTTAAGGAAATTATATTACAACCATATATGAAACTGTTAACCTAGCTGTAAAAGAAATAAGATCACCATCTATGTATGGAATGATAATGGAAAGATACTCAAGGTATATCAAGTGAGAAGAGATCTAGGAGCAGAATATTAACAGTATTAGCTCAAAGTGTTTGAAGTTCCCTCTCCTTTTCCAGAAGTGTAAAGCAAACATGTATTATAAGTATGTAAGTGTAAAACTTTTAATATATAAATTTTTTAAATGACAGAATGCTGCTGCATGAATGGAAGAGGAGTATACATTGTGTTTCTCTCAAGTAAAATTAGAGTTTGCTAACAATAAAGTTTCAGCATGTAAAATGAAGCACTTGCTGCTCGTGGCTGTGTTAGACACTAACCATCTTTTGAGCAACCATAATTGCTCTTGCCACTAATGGCTAACTCATGTAAGAAAAAATATTCGACTTCCCTAGCACCTCACAATTGCTTGTGAAGTAAGACTGACTCTGCGTGAGCCCAGTCATCTATAAGGTACCTTATGAAGTGCTTTCAATTCTTCTCTTTTATTCTTTGCTAAAATTAGATCATAGTGGGTTTGGATATTCTGGCCCTTTGGTCTTCAGCACAAGGAATAGGGTTCCAGAGTTGAGAGTAAGGACTTTGCCACAGAATCCAGTGAGAGGCAATAAAGGTACCATTGTATTCTAGAACATGAAGGACAAAGGGTGCTACTTTGTAGTGCAAGGAATAAGTGAAACCCCTTTACAAGAAAAACTAGAGCAGTTAACATAAAGTTACGCTTATTTATATTTTTCATTTATATTTATTTTTCAGTACATGTAAATTATTTTCTCTTTGACCACATTGTGTATTAGAAAGAGGAAATCAGGAGACTAGGTTTTCAATTTTGGACCCAGTACTACTACTAGTTAGCCAGTTCTCATCTCAACAAGACCTAAGCCTTCAGATAATGGCTAGCTTACCAGTTTTTGTTACAGATTTCCAGATCATTATACTTTTGAGTCATCAGCCTAGTATGGTGAAAATATGGGAATTTTTAAGGTAATTCATAAGGGCTTAAGAGAAAGAGTACTCTCAGTGTGGAGGATAGTTGAACGTGCACATATACTAAGGAGCAGGAGCTAATGCAGAGAGTGATGAAAAACAGGAACAAAATAGTGAAAAGTATATGGGGAGGGTGAGTGGGAAGGGAATCAAGCACCTGTCTCAGGCCAGAGGAGTCTTCTGCCTTTGTGAGGAGGAGATACTGAGGTGAAGCTGTAGTTTCCTTCCTCATGAGTCAGGTGAGCGAAATTGAGAAACCACATCATCTAAAGGAAAGCTGGGGACTGAGGAGAAAGAAAAGAGGTAGGCAGTATGAGTAAAATGTTGAGGAGTTTGGAATAGACTTAATGGGGAGCCAGTCAGTAATGAGCAAAAGGATCGCCCAGGATTGAAGGCCTGTTTCAGATTGAACACAATGTCCAACCTTTATTCAGAAAATAAGGCTCTGAAGAATCTCTACTCAGGGTAACTTGTGGTTTGTGTTTGTGTACTACAACTGGATTAAATATTTTTTTCTATTTTCATTCTGAATTATTCCTACTGATGATTTAGTGTATAAAGAAACTCAAGTTTGCTGGTAGCAAAAGCAGATAGTAGGTCTAGTTCTGCACTAGTTCTTATGCGCTATGGCTTGACTCTCATCCTCCCCAAGTCTGAATTTGTAAGATGTCCTGGTGCTGTGAGGGCCCAGAGTACTGTAGTTATATTTAATCCACTATAATATTTTCACTGTATAGGAAAAAATAACTTGGTTAATTATGGGCATATCTATTATTTAGCTAAAAATCAGCCTTAAATGTTAAGTGGTCACTAAGGCATTTATTTTATAGCATGACCTTTTCAGACCCTCGTAGTCTAAACTGGGAAATTACTTAAAATGTGTTAACAGCAATTTAAAAGTGATAAAAAAAATAGTTGTTTCCGTGCATTTTAGTGTTTCTTTTGTCACTGAGGGATTTTTTTTCAAGAGGGTTTTTTCTCTATAAAGAATAAACAATTGATGGGTGCTAAATTCTTGTTTAAGTACAGTATGGATCATTTGCTGTAAAGAATAGTTTGGATTATCACCAACCCTTTCCTTTTCTAAAGGTAGTCTGTCAGAAATGCCTGGGGCTATCACGTTTGAGAATTGTTTGTTGTCTTTCAATAGTAAGTCTCCTCTAGGGATGACAGCAGTGGTGTGCTCAGCCCTACTTGGGAAAATACCTTTCTCTCTTTCAGTTGGCATAAGCTTTCCATTGTTGGTTTGTATGTGTATTATATAAAATTAAGAGAAAACAAAAAGATTAAAAACTCTAATACAAAGGTTCAAAGAACTAGTATTTTTCAGGTGAAAGGTTGGCAGACTTAAACTTTTCTTTTTCTTTTCTCCAGAAAACAGGATATATATCACAGCATGAGTTTCTTTGGTTGTAAGAAAGCATACTAGAATACGTGCAGAAGGACTGATGTGCATCAAAATGTAGTAGGACATGTGAATTCAGTTTGTAATTCTACTTTTGTCGAGTTTGTTACTTATATCATAGCACTACTGAAAAATCTAAGTACATTAAATCCTAAGGGATAATCCCAATTATTTAACTGATATAGGGAATTTTGCTCTTGTAATGATCCGTCATTGGGACTTATAATTTATCTTTTTACACAGAGAATATTGAAATAGGTTCAGAGGTTCATTGACAAAAGATGGTTAAATACTATGAAACACTAATGCCATTGATACGGAAATAGAACTCCTCCATGAAAATGAGAGTTTCTATAAAAAGATAAAACAAAGTGGGGACTATATTCTGAGTGGGGGAAAAAAGACAACTATCTTTAAACTGTTTTAAGAATTAACTGGGGATTAAAATTTAACTGGCATTTATCCTCAGATACTTTTTTGTATTCAGTATTATATAAGGGATCTATTACATATTTTATTGAAACAGTCTGCATGACTTAGTAGCCTAACATTTTAAAGTGCCAAGTTGAATAAACCTTAAAAGGAGGATATTTTAAAAGTGCTCAAATAAGCAGTTTTAAACTCTTTTGAGTCACAAGCCTTTCAGCAGGGGTATAATCCCTTTGAGAGGCTGAAGGATTATAGGTGCTCTTCTCAGGAAAGTCGGTACATAATTTTAACTCCAGTTTCAGGGATTCTTGGAGTCCCTAGAAATCCATCTCTGGGCACTGTAGAGTCAGTTTCAAACCTTAACTCATACTACCTTGGTGTGAAAACGTCTTTTTATATACATTTATAGGCATAAATGTTTAATAAATCTGGACAGAGTTCTTTAAAATCTATTTTAAGGATTACTTAAAGTAATATGCTTTGTCTCAAAGGCATAGTCTTTGGAATTTTTTCTAAACTAAGTGAACCGTTAAAAACCTCTATTGCTACTTAAAAATACCAAATGGGTGACTTCTTTTCCACTTTCTTTTGGGAAAGATTTTCCTTTAGGATCTGTGAAAGAGTTTATGGTCACTTTAGGATGTAATGATTTTCATTAAGGGATTAAATTCCTTTATTTTGTGCAATAAAATTCTAATGAACACTGTCAGGAAGGAGTATTCTAATTGAGTTTTCAGTTAACTCAGTATTGACCAGATAAAAATCTTTTCAGTGTATTTTTAGCAAATAGAGTGCTCTAGGATTTTGAAGTACATAGCCCATCATTTTTATTATTGTATACAGTTAAGTTAAAAAGGATGAGTCTGAACTTCTGGGCATTGTTTAGAAGTTAAACATTCAGGCATAAACCAAAGGACAGAAACAAAAATTTAAGTTTCGGTTTTCTTTACTGTGCACTGAACATTCTAGAAATCTGATTGTGTCTATGTCAGCTTTTATGCTGTGTGTAAGAATATATGCATTTCTTTTGTAGCCACGTCATGAATATTTTAATGTCCCTGTGTATTAAATGACTACTACTCATCGTGTATGCAGAATTTCCCAGAGGAAATAGAGAGCTGATATACTTATGAAAGAAAAATATCCTCAGCTTGGTGACTGATTATCTTGTATAATAATAATAATAGAACATTTCAGAACCAATACCTTTACAATTATAATTTTTTTCCTGTTCTCATTCCTCTTCTGCTTTATTTTCATTTTATATGTGATCTTGATATAGTATATTCCTGCTCACAACTGGTGTAAGTTCTTCTTGAAAAAATATGAACTATGAATGTTCTAATATTTAATCTTAAACACATACATGTCATTATAAACTATCTGTGATTAATCTTGTAAGAGGAAAACCTAGCAATCGTTAAAATGCTTACCAAAGAAAATACAGCTGAAATGCTAGGCGGAAATAAGCAGTATCATAATATATAGTGTGCTTTGGTCATCAAATGTTGGGGATTTGGCGGGAGAAACTAATGTGCCTATAGTATAGTCTATATGAGCTTATGTGTTCTAATGTATCACATTAAAAGAAAAGGCTATTTGGAAATAGTACAAGAAAGTAAAAATCTATACTATTGTATTTAAGGTAAACCATTCAGTTTTTAAGAAATGTGTAATGTCTTATTTATTGAATCACACTTGTGCTATAATAATATTGAACAATCCCTTTAAGAGCTGTGAGAAAGCCAAATCAGAAGTCTCTTCAATATCTATTGCTCAATAGTAAATAACCTTTTCAAAGTATTAATACTGAGTTTATATAGTTAAAATTCCAGTATTCAGTTTAAATAGTAATATTTTACTTGTTAGGGTTTTATAAGTTCTTCATTTAAGTACAAGTATTTGTTAACTATTGTTTTTACATTTGTGAATATTAAAATGTTTAATATTGATCATTATTGTATATGCTTTTAATAAAACATGCAACATATTTTATTATAAAAGGAAAGTGCCAAATAATTCATATCTAGAGAGTTCAAAGCCTGACTTGAGTAAGCTATCATAAAACAGTAAATTCAAAAGATGCTCATACTGGTTCACCACTGAAAGAAAACCTTTGAAAATTGTGTATTAGGTCTTCAGATCGGTTGTTTCCATTCTTAATCATTCTTGCTGTACTGCATTACATTTGAAGCACCTAGATGAGCTTTCAAATGAGAAGTTTAGCATCATACATTGAAAGCACTGGGAAACAGTAGTCCTTCATTTCCATTTTTTCCTTTATCTTCCCCCCCTGCCTTGCATTATGTTGTTCATCTGGTTTTAATGCTGCAGGAATGTGCATTGTCTCAGGCCTGTTTGCTTTGGATGCTGTGTGCTGAGCTATAATAAGATGTTGCTTCTTTTATCTGTATACAGCTGCTTGCTTTAAATTAGGAGATTCTGAAATAGCTTTCTTTGCATGCCTAAAATAAAAATATTGCATGTACTTTGTCTCATGTGAATGACTTTTTTCTTCTCAATCCCTTTTGACAGATAATGTATTTTCTGTTTTAGTTTTTCCAGGTAATCTTTTTAAGTGTGGTAAAAAACACATAACATTAAATTGACCATCTTAATAACCATTTTAAGTGTACAGTTCGGTGGCATTAGGCATATTCACATTATTGTGCAACAGATCTCCAGAATTTTTTCATCTTACAGAACTGAAACTCTATACCCATTAAACAACTTCCCATACTGGTTCCTTCAGCCCTTGGTAACTACTGTTCTACTTTCTATGACTTTGACTTAGATCATAGTTTGCTAGGTTAACTGAGCTATAATTTCAGTGTCAATACGTGGAAGTTACACTTTATATTATAAACACAATTTGTAAAAAAAAAAAAAAAAGCACTGTTTGTACAAGCCTCAAAGAAAGTGTGTAAATGATTTCTTTGAAACTAGGCCTTTTAGAAAGGGCAAGTATTTTATATAATGCATATTTGATAAGCAGCATGGTTCTCTTCTAGAAATGCTATAGACGATTGCAGGCAATGAGTACATAGGGGAAATCTGACCAGCTCCAGGGAATAGGATGGGGGACACTTTTACATGGATAAGCTAAAAATCTTATCTGTACAGAATTCATTGTAGTCATCCTTTAATACACAAAAGGTTGTATGATGTTTTTAACATTAAATGTAAACAGTTAACTTGAAAATTGTTTAATATGTATGTGATTCAGATGTCAGTCTTTCAGTGCATTTAGTGTTTAAGGCTAAACATAAAGATGGGCTTACTACTCTTGAGAGTGTTGCATCATTTCCATTAGACTTTCTTTAAAAGCTATATCATGAAAACAGACATATAAGGAAGAATATAAGGAACCGTCCCATGCACATCACTCGATTTCAACAACCATCACCTCAACACTTGTAACGCTGATTTTCATCAGTCATCACCCCCACACCCAATATTTTAGAGCAAGCCCTATCACCCTATCTTCATCTTCAGTATTTTCAGTATGTATCCCTAATAAGTACCACACACCCAAAAAGCTATTTCTAATGTCTTATTCCTGGTTTAATTTTTCCTAACTGTCTGAAAAGTGCATTTCTATAGTCAATTTGTCAGAATCAGATTTCAAACAGGGTTTAGGTTATATCTGGCGAATGTCTCTTAAGTCTCAATCTTTAACAATGTCCCAGCTTTTTTCCTCCTTGCCATTTCTTTTTTTTAACTGAGTCACCTATGCTGTAGAATTTCCTCCATTCTGTATTTGGCTGATTGTCATCTCCCATGGTTTGTATTCTTATCTTCCATATATAATTAGATTTATAGCCTGGTTAGGTTGAGGTTCTGTTCTTGGAGACAAGAACACTGCATAGAAAAACATCACCAAAGCTGATTTTTACCCAGCTTTCATGAATACACAAACATCCTAAAAGGTCATCATATGAACTTCATACACATAGTTGGTTTATAGCACTTCAGTACGAAATACCAAATAATTTGATTTCAGTTTTGTAATGGTAATCACCTGAGGCTTTTTGAGCACTGTCTATAAATCAGGCACGAAGTCGTAACCCTTAATCTCTACATATGAAGGTAAGTGCTGAGCCATGTTTTCCAAATAAGGAAACTTAAGACCATAAGTTTAATTTTCTTAAGGTTATTCCATGTAGTGCTTTACGTGCAGTTAAATCTAATGTATGGATTTGTGGTTTAATGCAACTTTTCTTTTCCTTGTTTTGTGCTGTACCACAATTAGGATGCAAAAGTAAGTTATTACTGGATACTAAAAATTACATTGTTTTCCATACTATAGTTTCATGAAATATAGAATGTCTCTTAATTACAAAATTGTTGCTAGTAATACCTGAAATTTGACCTACTTGGTCCTTTATATTTTGTGATGTGCGAAATCAACCACACTGGAAAATTTTCTTATTTTTTTCTAGATATGCCTTTATTTTAAATAAGTACTGGTTGTTAATGGGCAAAATTGCCTTTTGTCCCAGAGCATTCTCTGTGTTGCTTCCACCAAAGCCATTGGGTGCCCTGGAGATAGTTAAGTCAAGAACAGTAAAAACTTGGAAAGGAAGTCATTTTTATAAATACATGTGACCCCCAAAACACATAAAACAATTATATGAAGAATCAGGAGAACACAGGTGGGGGGGTGAGGGCTTTCTGCTTTTTATTTTGGGGAGGTTTTCAATTTCAACACTAAGGTAACTTACTTTTCTTGTAGATTATTCAGTAGCTAGTGGGTTTGACTGCCTTTTGTGTTACAGCAGTGGTGGCCCAGCACATTGGTAGGTAGGTAATCAATAGGTATTTAATGCATGCTGAAAATACCCTTCTATGTTCTCCCACATTTTGAGGTATAAAGCCCTAAATAACCACCAGCTCTAAATAGTAGACTTTGCCTAAACCACTGAACTGTTGGCCTTTTTCTGTGAAACTTGCACATCCTTCTGTGTCCATTTCACATTCTCAAGCCTCCCCAGATCTGCTTACCAGAGTCTCACATTTTCCTTCCACAGGAAGCTGAAACCCCACGTAGTGTTCTTGAAGAAATTGGACTGACATAACTCTCCTCCTTTGTTGATGACTTCTTGTGGCATTTCACACTGTAGATGATCACTGCCTTCATGTCCATGTTAGCTAATGGTATAAGATGATGTATTTAATCAGTATTACTGTTTTGCTAAGCTGCTTCATTCAGGCCTCCACAATATTTTTCTTTTAAAGGGAACTTTGGTTAATCAAGTCATCAATTTAAGGGACTTAAATATGAATTAGAATGATGCAGAAAAAGAGGTACTTTTTCTGGATATTTTGAAGTTTGTAGATCTGTTTCTTTTAATCTGATTATGTGTTGCAGTAAGAATTACAATCAGGCAGTACACTTTGATTACTGTCTTTGGCAAAGGAATCTTAAATTATGTGAAACCTGGTTTTATGAAAGCAAAAACAGATACATTTCAGTATATGTGAAAATAAAGGGAATTGACATGTCACATATCAAATGAAAGTTTAACTTAATGTTGAAATTTTAAAATTTTATACCAAATACCCTTATTGGAAATTACATACCTTAAAGGGAATACACAAGTGACTAAATTGGAATGATGCTGTTTCACATCAAAAATTAATTTCTTAGGCATTCCAAACCTGATACAAAGGATGGAGATCTACTGTTTGATAACAAGCATCTTACTTTTAAGGCCCAGGAACATTTGACACCTGAGATAAATTTTTTGTGGTCATAATCATTTAGTCAGTTGGATTGTTTGATGCCCCCAAATAAATGGGAATGTTGACTTACCAGGAATTCTTCATAACAGTATCTTGCAGAAAATGTGTTAATCTTTTCACAAAGTATTGCATAAGTCATTGTTTAAAGCATGAATATTCCTACTGGGGTGCTTATTACAGCCAAATTTATTTTGCTCCCCTCCACCTAGAAGTGCTGCAAACTTCAGGGCAGCTTCCTTTCCCTCCGTGGCACTGCCTAGTTGTCAGAAGTCTTATACAAATAAAAAGGCACCTTTCATGTAAAAGTGAAAGTTGAATGAGGTAAAATGGCATTAGTGGGTCCTGTATTTTTTACAGCTATACAGTTGATTCAGTGTCACTTTTATACACACTTATATGTACGTAAACATGTCTTCACGGTTTACACTTTAATTTGTAACTGCTGGGCTGAATTAAGCTTTGTTGTGATTTTGACCAGTATTCAGGCCATGTGAGCATTGTCTTATCACATCACCAATTAGTTGTAATAAATGTTCAACGTACACCACTGTAGTGTGTTTTTATCTCTTCCCTAAAGTTTGTCAAACTATGGAGAGCTGCTGAAGGATTTTTTTTTTTCAGTAAAATGAAAATCACCTCCATTTAAATGTGGTTAAAAGCACACAAGATAAATGGTGGAAGATTTAAGGAGTCTTAATGTACTTCAAGCTCATTAAAAAACAATGTGGATTCCATGCTTCTGAGAGCTTATCTACACATTTATTTTAAATCAATAAACGCTATTAAAACCATGATGCAGTTGACTTTTCTACTTTCTGAATGAGCAACTCGGATTACTGCAGGTGAATCAAAATACTCCAAATTAACTGAAGTCCCCCCTACTCATGAACCGGAGGTGTTAGTGCACCACTGAAACAGAGCAGCAGGTGCAAACTACTGCCTAATACATACAGCAAATCAAAGCTTTGGCTTTATGATAGTTAAGGCACTTGCTATTAATACAGACGGGAAGCATTACATACTACAATGAGGATATTTAAGAATGAGGAATCTACCGTCAGATCAAGTTGTTAGTCTAAAAAAAAAAAGGTACTTGGAAAGTTCAAGAGCTTCTAGCACAGCTGTTTTTTTTTTTCACGGAAAACAGGCATATGGGCTTCTGCTGACAATGTGAAGTTGGAATTTTTGAATCAAATAGTATTCGGGTGTTAAGTTTAAAAAGCATTAATAAAGTTCAAGCTGGACATTGGTCAGGATAATGAGCCAGTCAGTGGTTTAAGAACTGCCCTCCATACCACACTGCCCATTGGCACAGGGTCCGTCACTGGCACATCTGCCTCAGCACAAGCTGGTGCTGACCTAGTTTTCCTCCATGATCTATTAAGACTGCACAGCTTTGACTACCACATATTTACCACGTGTTTATCTTGACTGTACTTAGGAAAGTATTGAAAAATTCTGAATTTAGTGACAATTATTGTTAGTGAATCAATTAGATAATTACAGACAATCATTTTTTTTAGTATAAAAAGGCATTTAAAGTTGGGAACAAATCATTAAAATGTATTCTGGACCACATCTTTTCTTTTTATAGACTACAGATTAAAGAACCCTCATTTTCAATAGACATCATTCAAATCCCAATCAAGAAATTTTTCGTATTTCATGACCTTCAGTATTTTGTGCTTAAGTCCTTACTTCCAAATCTCAAGTTGCCAAATGCCACATACTTTGAAATTCAAGATACCCAGTAAGTCAATGGAAAAGCAGCTAAGAAAATAAAAAATTTATAAGGAAGCATGAGAGCATCTTTTTTTATGATCTGAAATCTAAGAGCAGTACTTTGCCCTAAGCCTTTTAAGAACAGAAGGTTCTCTGACCACATTTTTCTTTTTATCAAAATTGCCTTAACACTAAACATACTCAGTAGCAATGACCCTAATGTTCCTGACAATGACAGAAATAATTTATGTAAGAAACTGCAACACATTAAAAAGTGAACACCCTTATGGAAAACCTCCAGCTGAACATGTGGTAGGAGGGAGGAGGAAAACGAACTCTACCCTACAGTACATTAAAATGGAGAAAGTGAATTTTAAAGTAAAACTTCAGCTTTTACATGTAGAAAAATCCAATAGATTATTAAAGGGTCAGTTACCAAATTTAATGGCCATTAAATGCAGAAAAAAGCGTTTGGTTTAGCCAATAGGAATGGACAATTGAACCTAAAATTTACAAAATTGGCAAAGATTAAAGTAACTGGGTGTTGTGAGAATGGCAAAATTTGATAAATTTTTTCTCATCTTTGTGGAAGGCAATGTGGAAATACTTCAGCATTCATATACCTTGATGTAATTCATCCTAAGGAAATGATCAGAAAAGTGTGAAAGTATGTCAGGAAATCTACCACAGGATTATTTATAGCATAGGATTCTTTAATAGTGAAGTTAAAAATAACTTAAAACTCCAACAGTACGGATATGATTAAATAAATTGATAGATCCACATTATACAGTGAGTAAAAACACAGGAACAAGGCTTAGAATATGACAATGTTTTGTGGGGAAAAACACATTCATTTGCAGCCACAATTGATCTTTGTAAAAAGTACACACCTATAAGAAGAAAAACAGCTAATGCACCACACTCCAGTGTCAACTGGTTATCTTTGAGGGTTAGGATTACAAGTGATTTTCATGTAATGTATACATTTTATGTTTTATCAGAGAGTTAAAGTAAATAAGGTTCCAGACTACCCAGGGTTCTGCCAGACCTGTTTAACCCATTTGGGCTCAGAACCCTTTACTCAATTATGCAGCAGCCACAGTAAGATACATATAATCATTTAAGAACAAAATAGGTTTATTTTGGATTTGGGACTATGAATGGTTCTGTCCCTACTACCTGACCTCCTCCCACCATGACTCCTGGACCTGGAGGAGCTCTGGCTCTGGCTGCCGTAACGCTGACTGCGGTCCCTTTTCCTTCCTCTACTTTGGGACCTGTGCCTTCTGTGACTCTGTGAGGTGTGTTTGTGGGATTTCGTCGTCCTGTGATTCCTCCTCCTTTTCCTCTCCAGTTCCCCGTTTCTTAGGTAGCAATGGGCTGTACTGGGGCTCCTCCTCCGCCTTGGCCTGCTGGAGTATTCATCGTGGCGGCCTGGCCTCTCTCTCTTTTCCGAGTTCTTCCCAAAGGAGGAGGCCGTCCGATCTGGAGACAGGTAGATGTCTCTATTAGCCTCCCAGAATTCATTGTTGGGGTTTCTGAACACATGAAGAAAGTTGCAGTGTTTTCCTCTTGGACATTGTTGTATTTCAAATAAACCTGCAATGGCACAGTGAGGGAACAGCATTTATTACTGGTACTTTATTCTTTTCAGAAGGTACATGTCTGATGGTCAGGAATGACAGAACTATTTTCTCCTGTGAATTATTTAAAAGGGATTACATAAATTAATGTCATGGTTTTGGTCCACAGAATTTGAAAAGTGCTCAAGCATGCTAACAAATGGCACTGAGAAGTTTTAAATAACCAGACAATCCCATTCTCCTCCTGGATTATGGTGGGGAGTGCACCTGTACAGATAGTGACATTTTTTCTAGGGTTTCACCATCCCAATGATCGACGACAGTGCAGTGCCTCATTAACACTGAAGAGCCAGCCCTTGGAGTCCCTGTGGAGGGCACGGTGGTGGCTGGAGAGAACCACTGGCCAAGACAGCAAGCCTTTATAAGTTGAGGATTCTATATTTTCTTCACACTTTAAGAAATGATAAACACTGGCCTAATGCTTTAATAAATTTACCAACTGCTTTTAATAGGGAAGATTATTGTCAAAGGTGAAACCTATTTGAGCTTAAGAGATCCTTCTGGAGTTTTCAAACTTTTTTTAAAGCAGGAAATGCCCCAAATACGGAAAACAGTTAAAAGTGAAATACCTCCACACCACACACTTACACAAAAAGTCAAAATGGGTCTTTAATGTAAGAAATGAAACTTACTATAAAACTCTTTGAGGAAAACATACAACTAAAATCCTTGTGACCCTGGGCTGGGCAATGTCTTCTTAGATATGACACCAAAAGCACAAGCAAAGATAAACGGGATTTCATCAAAATTAAAAACTTTTGCGCTTCAAAGGACACCATCCATATGAAAAGACAACCCACACAATAGAGAAAATACTTATAAATCATAACCACAGGAAGGGACTTGTCTGTAGAATATATCAAGAACACTTATAACCCAGTAATAAAAAGACAACCTAATTAAAAATGGGCAAAGTAGCTGAACAGACATCTCTCCAAAGAACATATGCAAAGGACCAATAATAGGACACAAAATCATGCTCAACCTTGTTAGTTACTAGGGAAAATAACAAAGTGTTATTTAGAAACAAACACGTAAAACAGTCTCCTGCTCTGGAGGAGTCAGAGTCACACTCCGAAGCACCTCAATGAAATTACACTGGATTCCAGGACTGACAGAAGTCACTGCTTTTATGGAGAAAACAGTTCCATATCTCAGCCCCCCAAACTTCAAACAAGGCATAATAGTTCTGCTTTTCCAAAGCAAGAAAGTCTGAGGGTTTTTTCCTTCAGTAAGTGGTTTTAGTGACAGCATCCATTAACACCAGGTTGCCAAAGATTTACTTTACAAATTAGAGTTTTAGGTACAAGGTTTTGAGGAGGTGAGTGCAAAGCAAAGGTTAAGGGAAGTGCTGCACCCTTCACCCCAACCCAGGCATGGACAGTTCCATTTTTGCCTCCTGGGTATTTCAACAGAAAGCATTTGCATTAAGCCCATCTCAGAGGAAAAATAACCAGGTCCTTCAAAAGTGCTGGCTGCTCAAGGGACTGACTCATTTCCTGATTCAGTGGCCGCTGTCCCATGAGTCAGTTGGACTGAATGTGCCCTTACCAGACCCCACAACTATAATCAATCTCCACTGCCCAAAAGCATGTATTTCAAGTAAAGCAGGACATGTTATATAGGTAATGTTTTAAGCGGCAAAAATGACAGAAGATTCATTAGGGATAATGAAGGGGGAGAAACCCAGACAGATCAAGCGAGACGAGCCAATGAATAGAAAACACCTCTGAAGCGGGGACAGCGAGAAGATGGCCTCCCACAGGCACAAGTTCTTAGGCTTCCTGAACTTTCAGAGCCCAGGCCTGAAGATGAGAAGAAGGGATTCCAGCTCTGATTCTATTCTGATACATCGGGACCTCAGTCTCATCCATAAAGTGACCTGCAAGGTCTGTTACAGATCGGAAATGTCATGTCGTTCATCTAAGGATCTGCACTCATCATCTACTGCATGAGGCAAGAACACTGTTTTTCCATAACAATGTCCCATTATATAATGGTGAACTGGGGTAAAAATCATCATGCTGTATTTTACCGCAAATTGCCATTTTCCATCGGGTCACTGGGCAGAATTCGCACTGAAGCTGCCGTCCTGCATACCATCGTCCATTAAACAGAGAAAAGGCTGCTTGGCATTCTTCTTCCCTTTAAACCACAAATAAAAGGATGCACTTTACAGTGACTCTCTACTATGAAGACTAGTCTTTTTGTTAATTAACACTTTAGTTTATTGTAGGACCCCCCACCTCCACCAGTCCACTCACTACTTTTCTATTGAGTGCCCATTAGAGCATTCAAGCTCCTGAAGTTAAGAATTTATTCAGGAGCCCTTTTACTAACCCTCTGAGAGGTTCTGATGCATGGGAATTGGCTTGAGTCACAGCTTCTTAAATCCTAAAAGACCGGACCATTAAAAATGCAGAAGTGTTTTCCATTGTCAGAGTCTCATCTTTCTCAGCTAGGGCTGCTGTTCTTATTACAATGGCTAATTTAACCCATTAGCCACAGCACAGCCCAGACAAACATCAAGACCAGCAGAAATGGTCCACTAACCGCTCTCTTTGTGGGCCAGATGCACACTGACATTACATGGGCTTCAGCTCCTGACTCTTTTGATTTACACTCTTCCATTCTCTGCTAGGTATCCCTTTCCAGTTTTTAGTAGAATTAATAAAATTACATGAGCAAAAAAAAAAAAAAGACTATATTGTAAAAGATTCTAAACTATGTAAGTACACAAAGAATGAAATACAAATGCATTATTTTAAAATCCCTTCTATATTTTGGTATCAGCTCTTAACATTTACTTTTTAAAAAATGCCATGCATGTGAAAGCTATATATTCAGTGGTGAAACCTCAGATGTCAACACAGTCCCAACACTATATCAAAACATGAGGACGACTTGGTGAAGGGGGGAGCCTAGTAAACATAATGTTCCTCATGTAATTGTAGATTAATGATACCAAAAAAAACCAAAAAAACAAAAAAAAAACATGAGGATGTTTATGTTCAGAATACTCACAACTGATATTGAACATACACATTGCCCCTCAGGTGAGGTTCCAAGTTGCAGCTGACCTAAGGAGCAATGAAGAATTCTATCACAAAGAGAAATTAAGGAAAACAAACCCCAGTCATCAAATGCACTTTGTCCAGGTGAACATTGCCAAAAGTAGTTGTTGACCGAAGATGGCAAAGTCCAGAACCCCCTCCCCGCCTACTTCTGGCATACTTCAGCACACAGCAGCACTGTAGGCCCCAACGACTGAGCCCCGCTGACCAGCTTGGGTGTCTTTATAGATAGGAAGTGTTTCACATGTGCATAAAAATAAAGGGAACAGAAATCAACCCATATGTACACCACCCAGAGGTGAACACTTACATTTTCTATTTTTGACTGACAATGTTTAAATATGTAAAACTAATTAAAGACCCAGTTGAAGCCCTTCCAGCCTCTTCTCCCTCTTCCATCATAGTCCATACACACGTGCACACACACTCCTATCTACACACACACATACACACACATATCCACCTCCACACACAGGCATCAACACACATCATATGTGGGCCATATAATGTTATGTATAGGCATATCCATTATGTATATACAGGTATACACATGTACACAAAATCTATATATATATTAATATATAGTACTTTTTGTACATTTTATCATTTTATATAAATAGTATTTATTCCACATTCTTTTTTCAAGATATAATCATGTAAACCTGACTCCTTTTTAACTACCCCATGCTGAATATATCAAATTATCCAATTCATTCATCCACTCCTCTCGTGATGGGCATCCAAGCCGCTTCCAGTGCTTGCATGTCCAGTGCTCGTGAACATGTCTCTGGGTGTGAGGGTCTCTCCAGGGTGCATGACCAGGAAGTGTGTGCTGGTCTGTAGGCCACACGTGCCTTCAACTTCACTAGGTTCTGACTAACTGCTCTCTGAAGTGGTTTACTAATTCACACATCCTCGCCACATTAAAAGAATTTATAATTTTTTACCTGATAGGTGTGAATATTTCATTTTAATATGCACTATTCTTATTACTAGTTAGGTTTTTGAATATCTGATCATTTGCCTTCAATGACAAATCTGTTTTTACATAATGATATAAAAAGGTCCTCAAGTATTCATACCAATGTTTCACTTTTATTTTCAAAATGACTAATTTTACAAACTTGTCCCTGAATTTTTCATTAGTGTATCCAAAAAGAGGCAGGGTCCATACTCAGTTTATACCACCACCCTTTGCAGGAAGACTAGAAGGCCCCGGGAGGCCATGTCAGCTGCACCATGGACCCTAGAATCTAGTGGTTCTCAAGTGGTTATTAACTTTCCATGATGAATTCAATGCTCTGGAAGCGTTCCTACTACACATTTACTAAACAGCTTTCCATTTATAACTGCCAATGTGATTAGCATGAGCTTGGCTGATAGAATTCTGAATAAAAGAAAAGAAGTATGCCATAGTCAGTGGGGCAGCCTGTTGCAGGTAATGGTGGAATTTCCACTAACCAGTCTGCAGTTTTCAAAGCAGCTCTACCACTAACTTCACGAAAGCAGTATGATGTAGGGACCCCATCACACTGGATGTAGTTCAGTTCTCTTACTTTTGGGAGGAAGAGGCAGGCAGAGGTTAAGTGACAGGTTCAAGAGCACAAGGCTAGTTAGAGCCCCTGGCTCCTCAGTGGCACCTCTACCACGGTACCCTGTCATGTGTGGCCGGGTGCACCCACTTCAGTGTGCACTGGTTGTGCTAAGGAGTGGTGCAGAGACCAGAAGACGCATGCAACAGAAACAAAGGGGAAAGAGCAACTTTAAGCGAATTTTTAAGAATTTTGAAATCGGATAGAAGTATAGCCTTGCATTTCATGAGTGCTGCTGATGAGGAGTGGCTCTGTCCTTGGCTATTCCAACTTTCCCCTGTCATTTCCAACTAGCAGGAAAAAAAATCCACAATTTCACTCCTTTCTTTTTCCAAATTATAGGACATTTTCCCTACCCCAACATAACAAAATCATTCGGGTTTGAATCTGATCAAATCACAAAGAGGCTTCACTGTCAGGATTCAATGACTGGGCCCCAGGAGCACCAACAATTACCCTGAACTTTGCCTCAAGGAATGCTTGAGGCATTGGGTAGCTCCAGAAGGACCATGCACCTTGGGTGGAAGCTGCAAGCAGGCACCGTCAACAAACACAATGATAAAGTGGGTGAGTGGAGTAACTGGAGTGGTGGGTGCCGCACTGCGAGGACCTCATGCAGAAGATCCACAGGCTGGAAAAGAGGTAGACTGCAAAGGCACTGATGCCATAGAAGATCCTTCCCAACCTAGACCCTAACATCTAGGAAATACACTTGCACATAGTTCTGACCTCATGCTACCACAGTGGCAATGGAGGATGGTAGAAAGGGAGAGAGAAGGAAGGAACGTTTGGCGCTTGCCTGGGCCCTTGCCCTCCTGTCCCACTGGGAGCCTTCATAAGAAGAGAACCGGTTCCCCCTTCATGCACGCTGTGCATGCCCACCTTGAACTGGATCACTTTCCCCACGTTCCTGAACTCGGGGAGCACATCAGCGTAGAAGTCCAGGAACTGCTGGTAGGTTTCCTCTTCACTGTACTCCAGGCTTGCATCGGGGTCATAGTCGTCCCTTCTGCACTGCTCCATCCCAAATGTTGTAAACATGCTTTTAATAAGAAGTGTGGGACTCGAGGCTGGGAAATTGTGTTTACGTGAACACCTGCATAAGAAAGAAAAACAAATTCAGTAGTCCATTTGTTAGAAACTACATATAAAAAGCTTGCTTTAAACTTTTAGATAAAGACTCAAGTAACTTTGTTTCAACTTAATTGTAAGACACTGAACTCCATCCAGATGTCAAATTTCAACACGTAACAAAACTGTTCTAAGACTGAGCAATATATGGACTCCCATTAAAATGTAAAGTTGGGAATTATTTCCAAGTTCATATGCCATTCAGCTGTCTTTTTGAGGAAGTTCACAAAGTGTTATACATGTGAAAGCAAAGAGAAAAAGAAAGCCCACTGGCATGAGAGACTGTGGTAACAGGCACAGAGTCATATGTGGGATGCAGGAGAGTGAGAACGATACAACCCTGCTTCTATATGATCAATGCTTATAGGATCATCTAAGAGTTTTGAGCTAATGGAACAGTCCAATCCCATATGTGTACAGCATTTCATAGTTTGGGTGGCACTTTTCTATTATTTCCTCTGATCCTTACAATCTATTAGGATAGTCAGAGCTAGTATTTTCCCCAGTTTGCAAATGAAGGAAGCTGAGGCCTTCTTTGTGAGATGCACTGACCCCAGTCACATGGCTGGTAAGACAGGATCCAAGATATACATACAGTCTTGTGCCTATTCAATACATGGTATGATAAATGTAATTGTATTTTTATTTAAGGAAGCAGGCTAACCATTATGAAGAACAATTTTCTTTTCATAGTTTAAATGGGACCAGGCTGTACCTGATTTTTTAAAAATTCATTTTTATGAGTTTACTTTCTTATTTACTTCCTTCTCCTAAAATAAAATGAGAAAAAATATAGCTCAAGGTTCCCTATCATGAAAATTTTCCTAATTAGTTTTCTAGTTAACAAATTGTTCGAGACAAAATTTTTAGGGAGGAAAAAAAAATCAATCCCAGAACTTGGGAAGAAAAAAGCTTAAGAACCAGGCAAACATTGGAAAAAAACAATGGCCCTAAAATGATTAAATGTTTAACCATTGTACTAACCATCTCTGTGCCTGGTGAGGTAATGCATGCAGAATGCCCCACACACCATGCCCAGCTCAGAGATGTGCAATCAGAGTTCATTCATGTATAACTTTCTATTTTCCAAACTTTTCTATTTTGGACCCTCTTATTTAGTTAAAGACCTTATAACGAGGTCCGTCTTCCCAAGGATAGCTACTGACAGCACAAAGAGCAAGGATTCAACCTGCCTGGCAGTGTTAGCAGTGAATCAGAACTTTACGGGTGTGAAGCATATACAGAATTAAACAAAGAACCAACTTAATGAGGCTAAAATTCTGCTCATGGGATTATTACATCTGAATGAACTTGGCTCTAGGTCTCAGGGTGTCACATTGAGTATTTATGAGTTTTAGAAGAGAGCCAAAGTCCCCGTCTAGAGAAAATCCCCACTTGGTGTGGAGACAGTCCGTGCAATCTGAGTATATTGAAGGCTAGGCCTACAACCCCTACTGAAAAGTCAGCTAAGACAAAATATCTGGGGAGGCAGTCTAAAGCTGTGCCTATGGTACTTCCAACTCAAGCTGTGGTATCTAAAGCTGTGGTACCAGTGCCTGTCAGTACTTCCAACTCAAGCCCGCACAGCTCCCAAAACAGAGGACTGTAACACCTCAACATTTTGATTCATTTAATTCTGACATGATAAAGCAGAATTAGTTACCTATCTCCAAATCTACAAGCTCCTGTTTTACTGTAGAATGGACAATTGGCTCGATCTTTCTCCATTATGAAGTCCGTGGGTGGTTCTGGGTTTTGCCATGTGGTACCATTTTCCAACTGTTGAAAATAACCATGACTTTACTGGTGGTGTAACAATCCATGAAGAATTCAATGTTTAAAAGGTATTCAAATATTTTGGCCTAAAATAAAAATGGATTCACTTAAGAATATACACATTCAGGTTGTAACAAGCAATCAAGACTGTCCAAACAACTGTCTTGAGACACAAATTGTATCTCCCTCTTGGCTCCCAGTCACTGCCCTCTGGCTACCAGGAGCAGTCACCAAGGTCTCTCTCCTGGGCATCCATTCTGAAATGGGTTAAAGCACTCTAACATGCCCACTTGGCAGCAAATTAAACTGTCTGTTTTGGGGTAACAGCCTGTGAGGTTGCTTATGTACACTTTGAGAACTATAACAAGTATGGTCCACAGGAGTAACTCAATATAACTTGCTTTTGTTCAATAAACTTCTGTTGTTGCTGTTTAAGTCACAGAGCCCCAAATGTGATTCTGTTACTCAAACGTGACCTAAATAGCTTACCACAAAATTGACATGACTGAAGAACTGTTTTTAAAGAAGTGTTCGCTGGTCTCAAATTCTTAATGAAAGGTTTTGAAAATACCTCATTTTCAGCCTGCTCCAACATCTTCTGCACAGCTTCCTACAAATGATGCAAACACAGGACTAATGAAAACCTGGAAGTCAGGTAAGTCACATCTGGTTTTCTCTGGTTAAGAATCTCAAGTGTAACAAGTGAAAAAAAAAACAAATCCACACATACAAAAGACTTTAGGGTCTAATTTGCTGTCTATACAGCACACATCTCCTGAAAAGTGTTCAAAGGATATAGAGCTGAGAATTTTTATTCAAATAGGACATTTAGTAGCTTGCATCACAAAACATAATCTTATAATAGTTTCAGCAACAGTACTATTTAGTACTTTTGAGCAAAGATACCACATTCTAGCTGTGAAGATGAGGTGAATATAAAATGCAGTGAAACCTCATACTGATGCAACAGAAGCTAAATTATGACATGAACAGTGTAATTAGGATTGATGAAGAATCTCAAAATTCTCAGTAAGACAGTGGAAGTCCTGCAATATGCCAGTAAATTTTGACCTCATTGTCATTTAAACAAATTTTAAATTATGTTGGACAGACTTTCTTCCCTAGACCCTTAAAGCATTACCTAAAAGACTCGTCTGTCTAGCTGCTTACTTAAGAACTCTACCTGATCACAGAAGGGTGCTTGGTCACTCAGTGTGCCCCCAACGGAACTCCAGCTCTTCCCTGCCCCCACCCACCTAGATGCCCCGTATCTGTCACTGGTGCTGCCATCTGCCAAACTGTTCAGACTGAAAACCTGAAAGTGGGACTTGAGTTCCCCTCCCCATCCATTCGATCTATTAGCTACAGTCCTGTGGTAGCAACATACCCCAAATCTGTGTACTTATCTTTATTAAGCCCTCCACTCATCCCCAGTACAATCATATCCTATCCACAACAGCAGCTTCTACCTGGTCACTCCACTCCACTATCGCCTCCTTGATCAGCACTCAACACCTGCCTCCATTCTTCATACAAAAGTTAGAATGAACTGTTAAAGGTAAATATATAGTAGATGAAGTCATTCCCAGCTTAAAAAGCCTTCAATAACTTCCCATTAAACTTCACATAAAACCCAAACTCCTCCTTCCTTCCTTCCTACCTACGCAGGAGGCTGGCATGCTCTGGCCCTGCCACCCTTCCTGGATTCCTCCCCAGTCCTTGCTGCGCTCGCCTCTGGTCTTTAGGATTCAGGCACACTGACCTTCTTCCAGCTCCAAGCTCAGGCCCCTCCCTGCTCCCTGGACCCCTCTGCCTGGACCCCTCCTTCTGAGATCTTCCCGTCAGGTGGCAGCTCAAACAGGGCTCCTGGGGAAGTCTTCCTTGGGCAGGCAATCTAAAGCAGCACTCCGTACCCCCATCACTCCACCACAGGCTCACTGCTTGCTTGCTTCCCAGCACTGATCCTATAGTACTTAACATGAGCTTCTCTGCGCACTTGGCACCTGACTCCCGCATCTACAAAACTAACTCAGGGAGAGCAGAGACTGTCTTTTCTGCAGCTCTTATCTCTGTTCACTAGAAAAGTAGCTAGCACACAGCAGAAACAGACTGCACAGCCCTTTACATATGCTTAGAATCTACCTCATTTTATCTGTTCCTGTCTCACTAGAGTTCCTTTGAAACAAAAGCCTTGGGTTTTTAAAAGAAGCCTTAGCTTTTGTCTGATGCGAGAAAGACCTCACTTGAAGAACATTCCACTGTTAAAACGGGAATGGATGACTCGCTATAAAAAATGATAAGCTCCAAACAATTTTCCTGCCCCCTAAAAACCTAGCGTGGTCTTGCTTCATCTGGAAAGCAGCACTCAAGTAAAGGTGTTTAAAATTTGCTCAGAAATTAACTGATGGCTTGAGACACAAAATATAAAGGTCACAGAGGCTGTTTCTACCCCGTCATGACTAAGATGTCAACAAATCACTTTTCCCCATTATAAAGTGATTACCCAATTATGCTAGTCTAACTTAGCAATATTATAGAAAACATCCTAATGAATCAGTCAAGGAAAGATGAGCTGCGATATCTTTGAAATAAATACACTGTTAAAGAACAGCAGCAAAATATACCAAAGCAATCTTTAAAAGATCCTGCAAGATGTATGCCGTACAGATTCCTTTTTTGATGGGCAACTGTGTATTAGCTACAATTACCTTTATAGCCCAAACTGGAAAGGAAGATTTAATAACAAAAAAAATTTTCTAATTCCTCAATATTTGAGTTCCTGATTTTCTTCAATCAATTCTTTATGACATGTCATAAGCAGTTAAGTGTCTCATGAACTAAAATGTGGAAACTATACAAAATAATATTCTCTAAGTAAGTCAACCAATATACAACAGAAGCTCAGAAAAACACCATTTGCTCTAGAGTGGTATATAGTATAAAGCAGGGACCAGCTGCCTGTTTTTCTAAGTAAAATGAGTCATTTACCTATCTTCTATGGCTGCTTGCATTAGCACACTGGCAGAGTCGGACGTTTGCCACAGAGACCATACAGATCAAACAGCCTACAGTCTTTACTGTCTGACCTTTACAAAAACGGTTTTGTCTGGTATAAAGTGTAAGATAGGTAGAGTTGAAGAAAAGCCTTAAGGTATCTGCCACAGCACAGATGCAAAGAAGAACACTGTTAAGGACACTATAGTGTATCTATATGCAAAACATGACTCTTTCTAAACAAAAGAAGATGCCCAAACCCTGATATGCCTATAGCTTATTCCCCAGCCCCTGCACACACCACAACTGCTCACTGGGCATTTACCCCTGCAGTGAGAATCACCTGTCTTTCCTTCTTCTCCTGTAGCTTCTGCTCCTCCTCTTCTCTCTCTTTTCTCTGCTGTTCTTCCCATTCTTCCTTTAACTTTCTCTTTACAGGGCATAGAAAAAAAGAGAAGGTGATTTTTTTTTCACTCACTTTTGAAAAACATTTAGGATGTAGAGCAAGTAAATGAAAAAGGTTAACAGCATCAGTAAAATGGATGATACCTGCTTTTAAGTTCAAGATACGTAACTCTTAATCAGAGTTGTTTTGATTCACTAACTCGTTACCTGGTTATCTGATTAATACTATACCTCTTGTTCTTCCTGCCGCTTTCTAGCTGTGTCTTCCATTTCTTTCTTTATTCTGAATTCTTCTTGTGCCTTCTGCTCCCGAAGCAACCACTCCTCATGCAATTTTTGCCTATCAGTGTCATGATGTAATCAAATAAATGGGCATTAGAGTACACATACATACACACACACACACATATATTTGATAGCAAAATGACATGTTTGGGAATAACTAAACTATCATGAAGGATAATTCCTAGAAAGAGGACCAGAAGATATGAGTAGCCATCTTGGAAAAGCACATTTCAGCAAATATCTTCCTTGAGGGTTATGGCTTAAAATCACCACTTCTACATTTCATAGCTGTGACATCTTTAAATAAAACAATGACACTACAAGTTTCCCTCTAGGTTGACCATAGTGATGTTTAGGTGCCAATAAAATGAGTAACAAGTTTCAAAGTGACATCTAGCTTTTCATATTCAGAAAGTACTACCCCTCCTAGTCTATGCATTTTTAAAGTGGCAATTACAGGACTTTGGCACTATGAAAAACTGCCATAAACTTTTGGACTGCTACTCCATAAAGTTGAGACCTCTGTGGTTTGCCCCAAGTACCTAAACTGCTGAAAGAAGGAAAATAAAACTATGTCATGATCATGTCTTTAAAATAAAGCTACAGACATTAAGATGATGAGTTATAAAAATAAATGGCAGGTGTCTATTTTTAAAAATGACCAATTTTAAAGAATAATATTATCTTAAGATGGCAAGTGTCTTAGCTCATATCACAAGTTTCTAATTTAAAGATGGATTAATGTCAGAAATTTATTAGCAAATTGAGTGTCGAAAAACTAGATTGCATTTTCCCACTAAATTTATAAAAGAGAACTGAAATATCAGAAAATTGTTCTCTAGTACTTTAGCAACATTAGGAGTTAACTAAGGTTTTATGTCGAGCTTGAGGACCTAACCACAATGTCAAACACTCGAAGGGAAAATATATGCCATTTCCAACCACGGATTCCAGGAACACATCTTTTAGCCATGATAGAGCCTCGCATATTGCATGTTAATGTTCCCGTGCATGTTATAGGGTATATGTAGGTGTTTCAGTGTGCATAACTCTGATTTATGAATCTTCTGAGAATCCTATTAATTGTATATAAACTGAACCAAAGTACATATAAATCTAAGACCTCAAAAAAGGAAAATGTAACAAACTTTAAAATTAAATAAGTTGAACATACTACTGAGAACTGTCAAACTCTGGGCACATAACTTTATCAATCCCCTACACTAAGATGACTTGACCAAACTCTAGCATGGCTTCTATGTCCCTAGGTGACCCCATACCTCCCCAACACACACATCAAAATGCCTAAGAGAGCTCAGTACTGCCAGGAAAGTGGACTACTTACTCTAGCCAATACCTGATGATAGGCCCCTGCCTTCCCTTAGGAAATTAACTACAAAAGGCTCATTAATGTGAACATGTGTCTCTTACAATTCAGAAGCAACTCTCTCAATGAGCTGAGCCATTCCTTGGAAAGGTAATCATTAGTTAGAATGATTCTCCCCAGTCTCTGTGGGAGGTTAGAACCCTAACTTCCCTAACTGCCAGTAACAAACACAGCAGACCTAGTTACATTTACACTCATCAACCCTTTTGTACTTTTTCACTTTTCTGATTCTACTGAGCCTCTGCAGTCCGCCTTCCTTGTTCTCCTTTTAAAGGTCCAAACTGCCTCTGCACAAATTGCAATGGAGCTGAGCTCTTTCCCCTACTGTCAGGAGTAATGAAATAAAATCCATTCTCACCACTTTAATGTCTGGCTTTATTTATCTTTGATACTATACATCTGCTTTAAAGCCATGAGAATCTCCACATAATTAATTTTCCTGCTTTTCAACAATACAGTATTATGCAACTCATAAAGGAATAAACAAAAATCAAAGGAACACAAAGATACATATATGTGATTTAAAAGAAGCATCTCAAATAAATGGGCAAACAAAAAATTACTTCCCTATTTCATACTATTATATCATCTTCATAACAGAAGTCTATAATAAGCACAGCCAGTTATTACAGCACCTCCTGTCTGACAACACTACGTTAACTTAAGTTAATCTCAATTCTATGAGGTAGGTACCATGATTTTATCTTCATATTTAAGACAAGGAAATTGAAGCTTACATAAAGCAACTTGAACACGGCAAGTAAGTAGCAGGATCAGGACTAGAACACAGATCTGGCTGAATCTCACTCCATGTTCTCAATCACTACGACATGTCTTTAGCATTTGGCTGATTCCACCTATTTATGTGCTTAGGTAGACAACAGGAATTAAGTACAACAAGCAACATTTCCAGCGAACACACTAAACATCTAGAGAGTCTATGAACTTTTTATCTCCTTTTAAAACATTTTTTTATTGTGGCAAAATATACATACCATAAAATTTCTAATTTTAACCATTTTAAATGTACAGTTGAATAGCATTAAGACATTCACATTATTGTGTACCACTTAAAAAAAAACCACAAAAAATATACTAAGAAAAAAAATAGAATATTTTCATCATCTTGGATGGGGGGGGGTCTTTTTAAGTCTATGAGGCCAGATATCATGATGAAAGCCGATGACATGAAAATCAAACGGTGGTAAGCAATGCCATAAGCTAACTTAGGACTGACGGCAAATGAGAAAAATATGCATCACACATATGACAGATAAAGGATTAATATCCTTAATCAAGTAATAATACTGCTTACACAACTTAGAAAATGTATCCCAAAGGGGAAAGGTGCAAGATTTAAGAAATCGTAATTAATAAAATAAAACAACTTTTCCCTATGGGACTTTTAAAAATTGATGCCTCGTGTGAGTGAAGGCACGGGGACACGGGCACCTTGATTCACTGTTGGAAGGGCTGCAAACTGGCATGTCCCTTCTATACAGCCATCTACATTTTACATGTACTTATCTGTTCATCTCAGCAATTTCATTTCTAGGCATTTTCCTAAGGAAATAATATGACAATTACCAAGGATATATAAGAATGGATGCTCATTGTAGCTTTTCATATAATAATAAAAAACTTGAATGTAAATTAATAAGAAAAAATAGGCTAGTAATAGTAAATTAATAATTGTAAGTGAATGTCACTTAATAGTAAATGAACTGAACGTCCATCAATAGAGAACTATAAATTATGAACAAAGAATAAATAATGCTACATCCATACAATGGATACTATGTTGCCATTGAAATGGTTGAATTAGGTCTCTTAATCAACAAATACATGTATTTCAGCAAAAATATATATATATAAAAATATGTATAAATATCATCCCATCATAGAAATACACATGTATAGTATACCTCTACTTTCTTAACTTCTTAACAGTGGCTTTCTTTGAGTGTGCTGAGTTCACTGAATCCGTTTCACCTTTTACACTTAATTATTTGGACTTTTTCTTTTGGCTTCTCAAAAATATTTACAAATTAGCAATAAAAGTGAAAAATACTTTCATTTTAAAAAAGGGTGACATCTTCTTCTTTTAGTCCATCAGGTAGAAATTTAAATAGTTTATCCAGGGTATTTTATAAGAAATATTTTGTACAAAGAGATCACACACCTCAAAAAACAAAAAGCAAATAACCACTTAAAAAATGGGCAGAGGAGCTGAACAGACACTTCTCCAAAAAAGAAATTCAGATGGCCAACAGGCACATGAAAAGATGCTCCACATCCCTAATCATCAGGGAGATGCAAATAAAAGCCACGATGAGATATCACCTCACATCCGTTAGGATGGCCAACATCCAAAAGACAAACAACAACAAATGTTGGCGAGGTTGTGGAGAAAGGGGAACCCTCCTACACTGCTGCTGGGAATGTAAATTAGTTCAACCATTGTGGAAAGCAGTATGGAGGTTCCTCAAAAAACTCAAAATAGAAATACCATTTGACTCAGAAATTTCAATCCTAGGAATTTACCCTAAGAATGCAGGAGCCCAGTTTGAAAAAGACAGATGCACCCCTATGTTTATCGCAGCACTATTTACAATAGCCTAGAAATGGAATCAACCTAAGTGTCCATCAGTAGATGAACAGATAAAGAAGATGTCGTATATATACACAATGGAATATTATTCAGCCATAAGAAGAAAAGAAATCCTACCATTTGCAACAACATGGATGGAGCTAGAGGGGATTATGCTCAGTGAAATAAGCCAGGCGGAGAAAGACAAGTACCAAATGATTTCACACATCTGTGGAGTATAAGAACAAAGCAAAAACTGAAGGAAAAAAACAGCAGCAGACTCACAGAACCAAAGAATGGACTAACAGTTACCAAAGGGAAAGGGACAGGGGAGGATGGGTGGGAAGGGAGGGATAAGGAGGAAAAAGGGGCATTACAATTAGCACAGATAATATAGCAGGCGGAGGGAACACGGCAAAGGCAATATATACAGAGAAGACAAGTAATGATTCTATAGCATCTTACTATGCTGATGGACAGTGACTATAATGGGGTATGTGGGGGGGGGACTTGATAATAGAGGGAGTCTAGTAACCATAATGTTGTTCAAGTAACTGCACATTAACCATACCAAAATAAATAAATAAATAAATAAATGAATAAAACATTATCGCTATACATACTCAAATATTTACAGATGAATAAATAAGAACTATTTTGTACAATATTTTACAAAGAAGACCCATACTAGTTTGTAAAGACTTATAGTATTCAAATAAAATAACTGGGTTCATGAGAAATGTTTCAGTCAGTGCTGACCTCTCCATCTCCAACAGCTTCTCTTCTTCTAGTTGTTGTTCAATAAAAGCATCATCATCCTCTTCTTCCTTCTGTGAGAGTCCTGAGGGAGTTTAAATGCTTTGTTAAACTATCTGAGCATTAGAAAACCTTGGTCAATAATTCAGGAAAAAAAAGATAAAATCTTTAATCTTTACAATTATGGTACAAACCTGTCTTTAAAGCTTTCTAATAATAAGGGCTACAGCCACCCCAACCTGCTTTAATCTAAGCATCAAGAACAATAATGGGGGGGAGAAGCCAAGATGGCGGCATGAGTAGAGCAGTGGAAATCTCCTCCTAAACCCATACATATTTTTGAAAATACAACAAATACAACTATTCTTAAAAGAGAGACCAGAAGATACAGGACAACAGCCAGACTACACCTCTTCAGGGTATTTTAGAGGGACTGCTCTAGATGGGAGCACTCCTAAGGATAAATAGATGTCACCAGAGAAAATAAAATCACAGCAAAGAAAGAAGACCAACCAAATACTAACTAAAAGCAAAAAATAAAATCAACTACCCATGAAAGCAGGCAAAGGAAACACAAAAGAGCACAGAATAAAATACCCAACATATAAAGAATGGAGGAGGAGGAATAAGAAGGGAGAGAAATAAAGAAACATCAGACAGTGTTTATAATACCTCAATAAGCGAGTTAAGTAAGACAGGAAGATACTAAAGAAGCTAACTTTGAACCTTTGGTAACCACGAATCTAAAGCCTACAATAGCGATAAGTACATATCTTTCAATAATCACCCCAAATGTAAATGGACTGAATGCACCAAGCAAAAGACACAGAGGAATAGAATGGATAAAAAAGCAAGACCATCTATATGCTGCTTACAAGAGACTCACTTCAAAGCCAAAGACATGCACAGACTAAAAGTCAAGGGATGGAAAAAGATATTTCATGCAAACAACAGGGAGAAAAAAGCAGGTGTTGCAGTACTAGTATCAGACAAAATAGACTTCAAAGAAAGTAAAAAGATAAAGAAGGACATTACATAATGATAAAGGGCTCAGTCCAACAAGAGGATATAACCATTATAAATATATATGCACCCAACACAGGAGCACCAGTATATGTGAAACAAATACTAACAGAATTAAAGGAGGAAATTCAATGCAATGCACTCATTTTAGGAGACGTCAACACACCACTCACCCCAAAAGATAGATCTACCAGACAGAAAATAAGTAAGGACACAGAGGCACTGAACAACACACTAGAACAGATGGACCTAATAGACATTTTATAGAACTCTACATCCAAAAGCAACAGGATACACATTCTTCTCAGTGCACATGGAACATTCTCCAGAATAGACCACATACTAGCCCACAAAAACAGCCTCAGTAAATTCAAGAAGATTGAAATTCTGCCAACCAACTTTTCAGACCACAAACGTATAAAACTAGAAATAAATTTTACAAACAAAACAAAAAGGCTCACAAACACATGGAGGCTTAACAGCATGCTCCTAAATAATCAATGGATCAAAGACCAAATTAAAATAGAGAATAAGCAATATATGGAAACAAATGACAACAACAACACAAAGCCCCAACTTCTGTGGGATGCAGCAAAAGCAGTCTTAAGAGGAAAGTATATAGCAATTCAAGCATATTTAAAGAAGGAAGAACAATCCCAAATGAATAGTCTAACGTCACAATTATCGAAACTGGAAAAAGAAGAACAAATGAGGCCTAAAGTCAGCAGAAAGAGGGACATAATAAAGATCAGAGAAGAAATGAATAAAACTGAGAAGAATAAAACAATAGAAAAAAATCAATGAAACCAAGAGCTGGTTCTTTCAGAAAAAAAACAAACAAAATAGATAAGCCTCTCGCCAGACTTATTAAGAGAAAAAGAGAATCAACACACAATGAGAAAGGAAAAATCGTGATGGACACCACAGAAATACAGAGAATTATTAGAGAATACTATGGAAACCTATATGCTAACAAGCAGGAAAACCTAGGAGAAATGGACAGCTTCCTAGAAAAATACAACCTTCCAAGACTGACCAAGGAAGAAACAGAAAATCTAAACAAACCAATTACCAGCAAAGAAACTGAATCGGTATTCAAAAAACTTTCCAAGAACAAAACCCCTGGGCCAGATGGATTTACCTCGGAATTTAATCATACATACAGAGAAGATATAATACCCATTCTCCTTAAAGTTTTCCAAAAAATAGAAGAGGAACACTCCTAAACTCATTCTATGAAGCCAGCATCACCCTAATACCAAAACCAGGCAAAGTCCCCACTAAAAAAGAAAAATAAAGACCAATATCCCTGAGGAACATAGATGCAAAAATACTCAAAATATTAGCAAACTGAATTCAAAATACATCAAAAGGATCATACACCATGACCAAGTGGGATTCATCCCAGGAATGCAATGGTGGTACAACATTCGAAAATCCATCAACATCATCCACCACTTCAAAAAAAAGGACAAAAACCACATGATCATCTCCATAGACGCTGAAAAAGCATTCGACAAGATATAACATCCATTCATGATAAAAACTCTCAACAAAATGAGCATAGAGGGCAAGTAACTCAACATAATAAAGGCCATATATGATAAAACCACAGCCAGTGTCATACTGAATAGCGAGGAGCTGAAAGCTTTTCCTCTGAGATCGGGAACAAGACAGGGATGCCCACTCTCCCCACTGTCATTCAACATAGTACTGGAGGTCCTAGCCATGGCAATTAGACAAAACAAAGAAATACAAGGAATCCAGATTGGTAAAGAAGTTGTTAAACTATCACTATTTGAAGATGACATGATATTGTACATAAAAAACCCTAAAGACTCCACTCCAAAACGACTAGCACTAATGTCAGAATTCAGCAAAGTTGCAGGATACAAAATTAACACACAGAAATCTGTGTCTTTCCTATACACTAACAATGAACTAATACAAAGAGAAATCAGGAAAACAATTCCATTCACAATTGCATCAAAAAGAATAAAATACCTAGGAATAAACGTAACCAAGGAAGTGAAAGACCTATACCCTGAAAACTATAAGACACTCTTAAGAGAAATTAAAGAGGACA